TGGCACAGCCGCGCATTTCAGAGTTTCACGACTTAGCCATGAAGGCATGTTGGTTATTTTCTACATTTTTTACTCCCATTTCCCTATAGATGGAATCTTTTGCTTACCAAGTCGTTGCTAACTGTTCTCAGATTGCCACTCCTGGCAACGAATTGTACGGAAAGCACCTCTCCAAGGAAGAGGCAGACAAGTTCCTTGCACCCAAGCCTGAATCTGTCCAGGCCGTCCAAGAATGGCTCAAGGGCGCAGGTCTAGGTGACCGCGCAGAGGTTGATGGCTCGGGCGACAACATCCTCGTCCGTGCCAGTGTTGCCGATGTTGAAAAGTTGCTTCACGCTGAATACGACCCGTTCGGTATGCCCCCTCCCAAGTGAGACAAAAAGTCATTGAATTAACACCTCACGTTGCATAGTTGCACAAGATTCTGGAGAGGTCATCATGAGAACGCTCCAATACAGCCTTCCGGATAACCTCAAGCAACACATTGACGTCGTCCAGCCCACCACATATTTTGGCGTGAAATCCACCCGTCTCACACAAATATCCCTACGAAACAACGAGACTCCATCCAACCAAACTTCTTGCGAACGTAGCAACCCATCCTGTTTGTCTGACCTGTACAGCTACGGCAGTGCCAAGGCTTACTCCAACGGCCGCATGGGGATCGCCGGCTTCATAGGCCAGTTTGCAAGCAAGTCTGACTTGGCTACATTCATGAGCAAGGAAGCTACGCAGAACAACACAGACCAGAGCTTCTCCTGCGTTTCTGTCAACGACGGTGGTTGTCCTGAGGACAACCCTGGCGTTGAAGCCAATCTAGATACACAATATGCCCGGGCTATTACAGAAAAAATCCCCAACGTGTTCTACAGCACTGGAGGCTCACCACCCACCAACGGCAGCGTCCCCGATAATGAGCCATACCTTGACTTTCTAAACTATCTCCTCGGCCTATCCGATGAAGACCTCCCCAACACCATCTCCATTTCCTATGGCGACGTCGAATACACCGTACCAAACGACTACGCCACCAAATGCTGCGACTTGTTCGCCAAGCTCGGCGCCCGTGGAGTCTCCGTCCTTATTTCCTCCGGAGACTCCGGCGTGGGCAATAGCTGCCCGGGTGGGAAATTCGAAACCGCATTCCCGGCCGCCTGCCCCTGGGTGACCACCGTCGGTGGCACAGACGGCACGGGACCTGAAAAAGCCTGGTCTGGCTCGGGAAGTGGCTTCTCTGAGATTTTTGCCCAGCCCAGCTACCAGAGCGATACTGTAAACAAGTGGCTGGAGAATGACCTGACGCACCAGGGCCAGAATCCCTACTTCAACAGCTCTGGTCGGGCGTACCCCGATGTTTCTGCCCTTGCTACCAAGTATCCTATCGTCGTGAACGGAGCCACTAATGGTGTTATGGGTACGAGTGCCTCAGCTCCCGTATTTGCCAGCATTATCCAGTTGATAAACAGTGATCGCTTGTCGAATGGTAAGACGCCTTTGGGATTCTTGAACCCGTGGCTGTATAGCTCTGCTGCGTCTGCATTGACGGACATTACGGACGGTTCGAATAGAGGGTGCGGAAACATTGGTGGACAGGGATTTCAGGCTGTTCAGGTAAATTTCTCCTAGCGTTGGTGCTTCTGTGCGTGAGGGTTTTTTTTCCCGCTAACGTTTGCCTAGGGATGGGACCCCGTTACTGGTCTTGGTACGCCCAACTTTGAGAAGTTGTTGAAAGTTTCGCAGAGCACATAATTCAAAAATCTAGAAGGATGAAACGGTTTTGGTATATATGAGAAGGCGTTTATAGTTCAGAATGAGTACACAGAAATAAGTTGGTAAGGAATAATCGAGCATCTGCAGTCTATAAGCCATATTTGTTGCCAGTTCACTCCGGTTCTGGAACAAAATACACTTTGCACCGGTGCTAGCTGCAATGACTTGCGACATGAGCAAGAAGTAACTGACTTCAAGATACTTACATGCCGGTTGCGAATTCCACTTCACAACCCACACCCAATATTGGACGGGGTCTCGAACAAACCCATATAGGTATGCAAACCCCCCTATCTCGCATTATCCTCACTAGCTACACCGTCGAAAGCTCTACATGATGAGCCCAAGAAAAGCTTCACCACTCGATTAAGAATGAATGTCACTTATTCTACAACCACCGCGGCTCTACACGCTGGCGTCGAGTTGGAGATGGTTAGTTCTCCTGTGCCTCTGCCACCGCGGGCTCTTTTTTTTTCGTATGAGCAAGATTACATAGGCCGCATATGACGGGTCTTCCAGTTTCTTGATGGAGGAGGCTCTGGCTTCTGGACGACCGGCTTCAGTATCTACGATCTTTAAGACTTCCCAGTGCCATTACGGGAAGCAGATTCGTATGCCCAGATGCGCACTGAAACGGAAACTAAATATTTCAACACGGTGAGTCTCTTCCACTTGGTTCTTATTCGGCAGGACGAGAACGTTGGAGTAACCAACAAAGATGTATTCTTCTATTGTTACGAATCTGCCAAAAGTGGAGGACCTCCTACAGATGGAGATCGGATTGCGGTGTATATATCGGTCGGTGTATCATTACATCTGTTTTCAGGCCCTTAGCCCTCGCTCCCCTCGGAGAAGGAGACTGGCACTCCCATCTATTTTTCACGCAGGCTGTCTCAGCAAAAGACTTTTCTATCGCCTCGTAACTGTCGAATGAAAAAACGTTGGATAGGGTACGGACACTGCACTACGCTTTACAACGTGTTGCATCATTTGACAGATGACGGCGATGCCAGTGACTTCTTCTGTACGCACCCTTTCTTCTTGCCCTCTTCCGTTCTTCGAAACTGCAAATTCAACAAGTGGCTTCTTAGAGTTTTTGTCCGGCCCGATCGATTTCTCCACCTAGCGAGTCGGCAATCTTGGTCCCCAGCTTCATCATGGCACTATCTGTACAGGTAGTGTCTGTCGAATCATAGTCCATCAGTAACTGGTATAACCGGCACCTGGACTACTATAGCCGTATTCTGATGGTTTATAGAACCACAGGACTCCCTTCCACAAGAGGCACAGGTGCGGACATTGAACTAGACTTGGCGCCCCCCTCATCCGAAAACAATTTAGTAGCACAACTTTAATATAGATAGGCTACTGCTTTTACAAGAAGCGGATGCTAAGGTTGTCCTTTATGATGACGCATGTAGATGCGATAGAGCTATTGCGCTGGCCATGGAGGTTGGTAGCAGCCTGTGGAAGAATATGGTTGCCCATCAGAAAGTATATATTAACACACTATTTCAATCTATTATAGTAAGTTATTATATAAAGCGCGATATCCACTCACCCAAAGTGGTCAAACAGTTTTCGCTTCTTGCTGTGCATTGGGGTTTTTAAACATCAAGCATAACCTCTGTTCACGTCTTGTTAAGCGACGGCGCCGACAGCCTATTTGGCGGGAATAGCTCTCAGGCCGCTCTCCTCACTTATGAGCAGCAAGCACAACTAATCCAACTTGCCTTCAGTTATGGGGAATCAGGGCTTTGACAGAACCGTAAAAGCAGGAATGTGAAGTTGTTGGTCTCGGGTTTGCGAACCAACTAGTGCCGTCTAGCGACTGAGCCAGGCTAATCACCCGGCAGATCCAATTCACCCTTTGAAGTGCGTAGTACCATACTAACCGAATGACATTCCGTATTGCGACGCCTACAATGGGTCTACGAAAGCGGAAAAATAGACATGGTCAACTCCGCATGCAAAATTGACAATGCAGCTCCGCACACAACACACCACGCCCAACTTACTGTTATGCCCGAAGGCTTCTTAATTAGCAAAGACACCTCGACGACAGATAATGGCAGCGTCCAACATGATTCCGCAGAGCGCTGATTGAGCTTGGAGTGCTGCCTGGTATTGGAAGACTGCCGACATGTTTGGGTAGTTGGACAAAGGCAGCGCCGTGCGAAACGGAGTTGGGAGACGCGAAAGGAGAGGCTTGAAAACGTCCTCGTGCGATTATATCTTTTTAAGAAAAAAAAAAAAAAGGGATTATTAAAGAGGCTCACAAGTAAGCTCTCGCATTATGTCGGACTCGGTATGTCGTATGGAATTGTGGCTTAGTACTGTTCCGGCGTTGGGGCCAAGACCAGCATACATATACTAACCATCATAAACGCCGGTACTTGGGCGATTCTGAAACCAGTTCAGATCAATCTAGTCCTTAGCTGGATAACTAGTGCCCAAACGCAAAACCCCCAAAAGCACAACATGTGCTGTGGCCGTGAGTGGCAGTTACTTTGACCATTTCCACGGCGGCACATGGCCATTGTGCCCATCCATTCCAAGAAACAATAGTGATGTTTCATGACAGAGAGGGGGGGCCGAGACATAGGCTGTGATAGGTATGTGATATACTGGAGGATGAAGATCCATAATAGGCCAAGTATCACGCGCCACTAGGGGCAATTATGTGTCCTGAAGCTTCTGCTTTTTGCCCGTCCACCGCCTCTTGCTGCACTTGATCATGTGGGAACAAACGTTGTCTTCCAGCCCAGCGGGTGCGCGCGACGGTTGTGTTGATGTTGAAGCTCAGGAACTTTCCGTTCGGTTGGCACAAAGGCTGGTGCCTCCCCGACATATTTCAAGTAAAGACCCGAGTTTTAGTTTGTTTAAAGGAGGGAGGAGACTAGAGTGATCTATAAACTAGTTCTAGAACGACCCGGGCATCGTGACCGGCTTTGACGGATGAGGGACAGGCATAATCGGTGGCGGCACCAATATCATGCACATCATGAACGAAGCCGGAAGCAGCACGGTATAGTCCCGGCGCATTTTCCTCCTTCTCTGCTCGATACAGGACACGAGCAGCCACACGATGGCAAAGCCACCAAATGCTTTGCTGGATTGTGAGCCCGCCGCTCGTAGCCACCAACTGCAAAGGTCGTATAAAGGCCGGACGAGACGACGTCCCTCCTCGCGAGCATGGCAAACCTGCCTTGTTCCCCGTGACGGACACCATGGCTACTACGGCTGCCAACTTCATCCTCTCCAACCTACTAGGTCTCGGCGTGGTCACCATCACCTCGCCCACGAGTCCCGTCATTCTGCTGCTGGTAGCGGAGAAGGGCCCATTCGTCACATACAACTATCTCCTATCAGCAGTAGACTTGGCGCTGGCCCTCGTAATCAGCTTCCTTCTCCTGTGCAACCTTGAGCACAAGTGGATAGCGAAGAACTACTCGTTTCCATACGCCTTTCACCCAATTCGAAACCTCGGTGCCAAGGCGCTTCAATTCCAACTGGTTCTCTTTGAGGTGTACCATCTCCATTTATTTTCGCGGATAACGCACATCCTCACTCTACTCGTCGAAGAAGCGGCCTGGTTGCTTCTCATCCAGGGGACATTTGGAGTCGTCGGCTTGGCCACCGCCAACATCCTGCTCGTCATACAGGCATTCAGCTACGGCGACACGCTGCTCGGCTCGTGTATAACCATTCTAAACGTGGCCATTTCTCTCGCCGCGTCCGTCGGGTTTCAGGGACTCTCGGACGGCAACGCCCTCGGCGGCGTCAAGACCAGCCTCGTTCTCTGCGCAGCCCTGCGGACCATGTCGCATGTCGCGGAGCCGCTTCCGCCCGCCTACAACGAGCACAGCAAGACGTTTGACCGCAGTTTCGGGGTGCGCGGCTTCGAGTTTCTCTTTTCCAACACGCTGTTTGCCTTTTGGCTCTTCTGCTACGGCGTGATTCAGGAGATGGGCGCCGGCATGCCCGGCCGCCTGTTTAATATTGCCGTGGCAGAGGTCATGTATTCCTTGGGCTACCAGGGCAAATCCGCGTGGGATGTTGTCGTGGCCAAGGGATGGGCTTGCGAAATCGTGGAGAGCGGTTGGGAGGCGTATCCCATGTCGCAGGAGTTGCTTGCCTGGGTGGCGGTACGCGATGACGGCGGATACCCGATACTCTAGTTCTAGACTGCGCTTGTAAATTATTTAGAAAAAAAAAATGGTTGAATGTCTCTCTCTCATGGTTGTCGTTGGATCCGAGGCGTTTAGGCCGTCATTTCGCATTTGCCTTGGCAATAAATTTACAAATGAGGAACAGGCGCCCCTCGAATGCGTTACACCCCATTGGTCCATGCCTGCGCCAATTAAACTGGCGCAATCTGCCTCCGTGGGCGCCAAGAACTTCTGCAAGTGGGGGTCGATTAGCCCAATTCAGGCACAAATGGCAAGTTAACTTGGTTATTTCGTATTTCTAAGCATCATGACGATGTTGTCATTGGCATAAAAAGTGCGTTATTTCCGGCTTGTGCAAATGTTGTGCCTCGCCACCGTCAAATGGCGACTGTTCGGCCCGGCGCATATCCTCGGCTAGCTCGCAGCATTACGCAACGCCTCAAACCTCCTTCACTCGTCGTCACGACCTCGCATCACCCTCATCACCACCGCCTCACCACACACGCGCCCCGCCTCAAAATGGCCCGGTTCGACCTCCGCAACAAAGGCCAGTCCGGTGTCCCCTTCTACACGCCGGCGCAGGAGCCCGCGGCCGGCACCGCGGCGGACGCCTCGACGGCGCCGACGCTCTACAAGCCGCTGCGCGTGCGGTCCCTCGAGCTGCACAACCGCTTCGCCGTGTCGCCCATGTGCCAGTACAGCGCCGACGACGGCCACCTCACCGACTACCATCTCGTGCACCTGGGCCAGTTCGCGCTCAACGGCGCCGGCGTCGTCATGGTCGAGGCGACGGCCACCGAGCCGCGCGGCCGCATCTCGCCCCAGGACTCGGGGCTCTGGCAGGACTCGCAGATTGAGCCGCTGCGCAGGATAGTCAACTACGTGCACAGCCAGAACACCAAGGCCGGCATCCAGATCGCCCACGCGGGCCGCAAGGCGAGCACCCTGGCGCCGTGGATCGGCGGCTCCGCGAACAAGGCGCTCGCGGCCGAGGAGCACGGCGGGTGGCCAGACCAAGTCGTTGGTCCGAGTGCGATCCCCTTTGCCGAGGACCACGCCACGCCGACCGAGTTGAGTGTCGATGATATCAGGGGCCTGGTCAAGAGCTTTGGGGAGACGGCGCTGCGAGCCGTCAAGGCTGGCTTTGACCTCATCGAGATTCACGGCGCCCATGGATACCTCATCACCGAGTTTCTGTCTCCAATCTCCAACGTACGCCCCATCCGAGATGCTCTGAAAAGTAACAAGAGACAAGGTTGAAAACTGACCAACCCCAGAAACGAACCGACAGCTACGGCGGCTCCTTTGAAAACCGCACCCGCTTCCTCCGCGAAGTCATCGAGACGGTGCGCTCCGTCATCCCCGAGTCCATGCCCCTCTGGCTGCGCGTCTCCGCCACCGAATGGATGGAATGGACCGGCGAGCCCTCATGGGACCTCGACAGCACCATCAGGCTCGCCAAGCTGCTGCCCGCCCTGGGCATCGACGTCCTCGACGTCAGCAGCGGCGGCAACAACTCCCAGCAGAGGCTGGCCCGCGAAAA